CAGAAAATCGTTGTTGTCACAGGAAAGGATGCAAACGGGCAGAGAGGGAGGCCTTGAAAGCATCCTTTCCTGACCTGTGCATCCAGAGGGAAATCTTTTTGCATTTCCTTGGTGCAAAGAGGATGGACTGGTGAATTGGGGTGAGGGACCTTGAGATATTCATGATTTTTCCACTTTCACAAGGGTCCTGTGGCCCTAACCCCTGCAAATGTGGGAGGACTGACAGTATGCAATCCAACTTACATACAAATTCGACTCAAAGATGAATTTCCATGTTCTCAGGTACAGAACTTGTTTGTAACCCATGGACTGCCTGTACCTGTAAGCCATCAAGGTCAGATGGGTTTTCAAGTGAGTAGTACTAATAACTTTTGAGTCTATAACCACCACCCCCACAAGCTTCATTGTCTCTATAACTCTATTTTTGTGTTGAGTTCTCTCTCATTGTTTTATGATGCCTATAACATTGTGATTCCCAAGATTAGTAAAGATTGTTTTTAGATGTACCAGCTAAAATTTTAGTCCAACCAGTTCAGATGAAGTTTAATAGAAATTACCACCATGCTGATAAACTCAGATTGGTGGTAGATTTGTACAGTTTAAAAATATGGATACCACAGTCACTTCCTTTGTTTATCTGGATGCTGAAAAGGCCTTTGACAAATTTTACTGGAAATTTATTTTTACAACATTAGTAAACTTTGCTTTTCTAGAAGAATTCTGGAAACAGGTTCAAAGTGTATATTTAGTATCAAGAGCCAGAGTTTTGATCAGAGTTCTGATTTTTTTTCCTTACTGGGGAGAGGTTAGGGTTAGAGATATTCATTTTCTCCCATTATATTTGATAAATGTTTGGAACCCCTGGTGTGTGCTATAAGCCAAAATAGTGGTATTCATTGACTTCAAATTAACTCTCTACAATTTAACTTTATGCTTTTTGCTATCAAACTTTTTCTGTTTATTTTAGAATTTATCTGATTTTTCTTCCTTGCAGTTGATTGACAGCTTTGGTCTCTTGCCAGGCTTTCAATTAACTGGTCAAAATCTAAATCTGTTGTCTGTTGGAGAAGCAATGAGAACTGGAAATTCTTATGCTATATTACCTAAACACTGTAATATACTGTGAGTACATTACACTGTCAGTTAAACACTGACGACATTTGAATTTGAGTCTGTGGGGCAAAGTAAATATACTTAAGATGAATACTATATCCAAAGTTGTATAAGTTTTACGTATATATGTTTTATGTAGGACCGATATTTTTAAAAAGGTACTGCTTTGTTTTGTATTAGAAAACCCATATTTATGGATGTACATGTTTTACTTAACTATTTGTTTACTTCTTGGAATCTAACACAAGCTCATTTTAAATGGATTGTCCACATCATTAGGACTATCAAAAAACTGATATAACAATGTTGGAAGGATAAATGGCCACTCCAGATCTACAAGCATGGATTATAGATTTATTGACTTCTTCTCACCTTTGAACAGGTGATATATTTATCCTGTTCATGGATAAATACAGACCTATTTGGTTTGTCTTTATCAAAACTTACGTATAACTATTCTAACATACTAATTTCTTTCTATATTTGTAATACATATACATTTCATATGTACTAGTTGTAATTGATATTCCTTACCTTTATGTAATTAAACATTTTATTGTTTTTGATTTTATAAAAATCATAATAAAATGTATTACTAATGCCAACCTAACATTAATTTAACAACCAATTGCAGGTTAACTTTGCATTGGTTAACCTATGGTTAAACCAAAATGTCTAGATTCACATGTCACAAAACATTCTCCAATCAGGGAGATCAGAGGATGCGTGCTCAAATTGGCAGTGACATATGCCAGACATACATCATAGAAAACTGTAGGTTAATTAATGCACAACTTATCACCATTATATGCAGTTAATCATGGCTAGGTTGTTTACTTCTTGGAAATTATTGTTATGACTATAACACTAACAAAATTCCATTTTCTGATAACACCTGTAAATCATCAAAAATGGAATAGCCAATCATTCCATATTTTAGCTTTGTCTGCTAAATGCCCTGTGTGAAACGAACAAAGATTATCCATAGCGCTTGTATCACATTTTGTTTGTATTGCACCTTCAGTGCTTTAATAAAGACTCCAGGATTGAGGATGTCATTATTTATAGTCCATGTGCAAATTTATTCTTAGTATTCCAATGTATCTTGACTGCTCAGGCATTCTTCCATAGTTCTTTCCAGTCCATCCCAATACAACAGGATTTGTTGAGGAGTATTATGATGGCTTGTAACGATATTCATATAGCGGCAAGGAGAAAATGGAACTTGACTTGCAAAAAAGACTGGCTCTGAGTGAAGTTCTTCTGGTACAATCTTGAGTTCACTAAGGCACAAAGCTACAAACACATCTTCCAGCTTAAGAAAAGGAACCCTTTTTGAAACTATATGCACTTGCCTAGCAACATCAGTGGAGAGAACATAACCAGTGCCTGAACAAAATGGAGGGTAATTTTGTCCTGGATATTCCATTTCATTCACATACCATTTGCTGTTTGGATCTCTTATTGGATAAGCATGCATGTTGATAGCACCTGTAAATAATCCCGTAGTGCTGTTTCTTTTCAGGAGAAGTTCAATGAGGTAATACGGATTCACAAACATATCAGAATCTGTTTTCATCACAAAAGTAGATTGTGGACAGAATTTGTGAATCCATTCAAGGCCCATCAAAGTCTTTAATGTTAAATTATTATACGTATCCAGAAAATCCTTTTGAATTATGTCATTATATAATATATTTTCTGTAATAACTATGATCTGGTCATGGGTTTCCAAATTCGTTCCCAGGAGAAAATATGTCACAACAAGCTTGTCATCTATTACTCTTTCTTTTCCCCATGTTTTACGGATAGCCATCCGAGCTTTGACATCGTCAAGTCTAGATGTTACCAGTATTACTAGGAATGGTGTATTTTTACTGCAATCTTTCTCAGGCAATTTTAAAAAATCTTCATTCTTTCTCTTGAAAATAGGGATGACCTTTTGAGAGCTAGGGTAGATGTCACTAGAATTCAAGAGGATGGATAAGACAAAACAAGCGAGGGCTAATGCAACTGTGCAAAGGAAAACCTTTCTCTTGGACTCCATCTGCAAAGGGAAAAAGTAGAAAAAGACAATACTAGCCCTTTTCAATTCTATATAATAAAGTAAATTAAATAAGCTATTTTAGTACTTTTAAGTGGTTTAGTACAAGCACATAACCAGGTGATACTATTCACATTCTTCACATCTTGAGAACTACCAGAGAGCTCTCTATGTGATTTCATTATCTGAATTCATTGACATGTTATAAAAAGATCTGGAATTTGACTCTCTCTCTCTCTCTCTCTCTCTCCCTCCCTCCTTCTCTCTCTCTCTCTCTCTCTCTCTCTCTCTCTCTCTCTCTCTCTCTCCATGCATATTCACTACTCCCTGTTTAAATAGTTCTAATTCTCACAATGCAAACATGATCTAGTAGAAAGGGTACAGGTTTTCTTAGCAACTCAGTACTCAAAGTTCTGTCTGGCAAAACACAGTCCCCCATCCAGCAGAAGTATGTGCCAAAATCCACTGAAATCTGCTAGATTTCCCCTAAGCAGGATTCAAGAACCCACACTTTACATATTTTGAATGACCCACAGAACCCAGATGAAAAATCCAGTTCAGGAAAACTATCTGGGGTAGAATAAAGCAACTTCAGTACGAATGTATATAAATAGGAACATAGGTAGCTGCTGTTACTGATGTAATAGATTAATCTAGCACAGTGTTGTTAGCATGGACTGGCAACAGCTGTCCAGGCTCTCAGACAAGAATTTTGCCAGCCCTTCGGGGAGACACTGAGGTGTGAAACTGTGACCTTCTGTACCCAAAGCATGTACTCTGCCACCAAGCCTCATTCCCTCCCAAATAAGTTATAGAGAGGGAAAAAAACCCAGCTGCAATATTATTGGTAATGATGATACCACTGAAGCTCATGGTTATCTGGCCCAGTATATGCATTTGTTCTGCATGAATGCACAGCTGCATTCTTTATTAGCTCATCATAGTATAGCAAATCTGTGTAGTCTTCTGTTTATAGATACAAGTGCTCTATGTAACACACAGGTAGACTGTTTCAGGTATTTTAATAAATCAGTATGAGCTTTAATGTGTCACAGCCCACTTTAACAGATAAGTGGAACTGGAGCATTTAAGTCTGAAAAAACACCTCAGGGTGCATTTCTATTGCAATCTCTGTAAGACCACAAATTCAGGGACTTAGAAGACTTTATACTAAAGAAGAAGAATTTATACTAAAATCAGAATATTGTTTAAACTTTTAATAATAAAAGCAAATACCATTTAAGTGAAAAATGAAGTTGCTTGTGATGGGTTTTTGCCAAAGGGAAATATATGCTGGATGGTACTACTTAATGATCTTTGGGAGGAGGCAAGGATCGGGATTCTGTGATTCTCCTGACAGTACATGATGTTGGAGTTCATTTCCCATCAGTTCTAGCCAGCAGGGCGAATGGTCAGGAATTATGAGAGCTGGAGTTTAATAATACCAATAATATCAGAATGTATCTTTATTACAAAGTTTTCCTGACAGTAGACAGCACATAATACATATACTTGATGGAATATTCCTTCAGGATAGTGAAGGTATCTGTAGAGGCAGCAGTTATTGTTGAGTGCAGAGGAGTAAACTAGCACCACAGCTTTGGTTATTATTTTGGTTCTTTTATTTGTTTCATTTTTACATCACATAATAGCCAAAAGACTCTGGGTGGCTGGCAAAGTTTAAAAGAACATAGAAGCCAAAAGAACCCAACAGGATATAATGATAAAACAGTAGAACAATAAAATCAATAAAGCAGCAACAATATGCTCACAATAACCAAATCATAATGGCACAGAGCACAGCAGCATGATAAAACAGTATTAAAACTAAACTTTTACTAACCCGTTCTCTTTATAACCAGCTGCTCCTACAATGGCCCACAGTGTTGCATGCAGTTTGTGTCAGACAACACTCAGAGTGAGTTACCACCACAGCCCACCCCTAAATGGTGGTGTGGGTCCTAATTTTCTTATTCAGTCCAGCTTTTTGTCTCCAGGTCATGGTGCTTCTGTATTTCTAGATTCACCATTAATACATCTCTAGCTGAGGAACTACCACCAATAGCTGCTTGGTTAGCACAGCAGACAGAATGCCTATGTAAACTTTTCCAAGAAATCTGTTACTGGTTTAAAAAGGCAAACAGAAACAAGGGAGAAACAAGGCAAGCAGTAATAAGGCTAATAAATAGGCAAAAGTTTACCAGTCTATCCAAACCCTAAACTTTATCAGTACAATTAATATTTAAGGTGCCTCTATGGGATTTGACTGAACCAAAAACTGTTTTACTCCACAGCCAAAAGGAACGTCAAAGCAATTTACTATGGAAAATACATACAAAAATACAATATGCAATATACTACAGTTAGCCCTCCCCCACACACATTGGCAGGCATTAAGGGTATAAGGACCTCTGCAAAAGTGAAAAAAGCCTGTATCTCTAGCTTGCCCCCACCCCCGCCAAACCTTAGCTCTTAATACTGTTGACCATATACATACTAGATCGCTTCTCCCTCTCCTCTCTCCTCTCTCTCTCTTGGTTTGAGCCATTAGGGCTTCTCTTCCTCATTTATTACATTCTTATGTTCATATTCTGTGCCCTCCCTTTCACTCGCCAGTGAACAAGGAACAAGGAAATGCCAGAGAAATTTCCTTCTTGGGATGGTGGGGCAGGAAGGCCTGCTTTGGAGGCCCCCCCTTGCTCCCCTTTCACTTCCTCTCTCTCTCTCTCTTGATGGCAATTTTATGCAGTAGGCCACAAAATTTAAAAAAAAATCTTGATGGTAAACTCACAAATAATCAAACCCATGAAAGTCAAGGTTTGACAGTAACTGCAAATTAATTTACAAATTTACTAGGCAAGAAAATCTGTCCAAAACCCAGAATCACTTCCAGGGAATGTCAACATTGCCAGGCCAGAGGGACCAAAGGCCTCACTCATTATAAAGCAGTTGCTTTTAGGTTGATTCAGCTGTTCCTAGCACATTCGGCAGAGGTATGAGCAATCAGAAGTTCCTTCAAGGCTAAATGTGCTTCTAAACTCCACATACATGATAAATAGGCAATTCTAGAATGCATTTATATATTTAAACTGTATGTTGCCCTTTATAAAACCAAGATGGTTTAAAACAGAACAATTTACAGGCTATCCACACTTACTGGCAGTAAGCTTCACTGAACTGAGGTTTCCTTCTGAATAAACATGCATAGGATGGTACAGTGTATATGTGAAACAATCTACCTGGGCACACACTACACCTACCATTGTGGATGAGAAAAAGACTGCATTGTACAGGTGTGTGAGCCCATAATTCATCATATTCAGCTGTGAGGAGTGACTGGAAAAAATGCACTGGCAGAATTTCTCTTTGGATTCATCCCAATTCCTTAGCCCAATATTAACCCCCAAAAAGAAGGCTATGTGCTGGTCTTCTTCACTTGTAAGTGAGCTAAATGTCACTTGTAAGTGAGCTAAATGTGGAAGTCTTGAGATTTCTTCTAGAGTAATGAAATATAAGTCAATGAATAGCTAATAGTGACCATGCTAAGGCCTGAAATGAATTAAGCCTCTTAGAGATAGGTGAGGTAAGAAGTACTTCTAAAAGGGATAACTGAAGTGTTGCTGAAGTGACATTGCTATACACAAACTTGTCAAATATGAGATACTGACTTGTGTGTCTCTAGAAGCCTTTGCCTTGTATAAAATATTTCTTCTGATTTTCTAATTGTTCCAAGTGACTTATCATGTATATATAAAAGCTTCCATTCTGCTTAGGAGAGGTGACAACCTTTCAGAGGTGCTCTCTTCCCACAGTGCTGTAGATTCCTAATAAAGATCTGATGGGTTCTAACAATATTGGCTGATGAGATTTCTTGATATTTAAGGTTTTTCTTCCCTCCCATACTAATATATGTACAAAGTCTTTCCTTTCACACTTAGCATTTTCTTGCATGTTTGAATATTAGTAAAAATTGTAGTCACACTTTAAATCACAGGATGATTATCATTACTGATAATGAAATCAGGCAACACCTTCCACATTTTTGCAAGTTTAATGCCACCAAAAAATGAAAAAAGTTTTGTGCCAGCACCCCTAAGTGTGTACTGACACATCCAACTGGGGGTTGTAGTTAACACTAGTTAACCCCATAATGGTTGCACTCCTTCCCAAGTTTTGTGCTACAAACCCAAAGTTTTGAGACTTACACAGTACGACTTACACAGATTGGGGAGAGCCCTATTGAACACTCAGACATAATAATGCCAACCACTCCAAGTGGATATCAAGATTTTGTGCAATCCTGGGGTACAGAAATGACTGTTAACATTCAAGTACCATGATAGAGTTGGAGGGTAATAACTTTTAAAAATCAGATTCCTGCCGAGCTACAATATTTTTTTTAAGCAATGAGCGCATAACCAACACATAACCATTCAGAATTCCAAAGCAATGGTTGTGAAATATCAGAGCAGATATCATTCCCCCGAACCTTCAGGTTGATCTTCCTGTATAAATATTCTGCAAAGGCCATTTTTGATAATGCCTTTGTGGATTGATGAAATTATTAAATCAATAACATGAAAACACACAATGCACCCATCCTGGATGGATATTCAGTTGAGTGGTATAAAATATTTTCCAGCTTTCTAGTTCCCAAGCTGCATCATCTGCATAATTCTATTTTGAATTGGGTTATTTGGAAGAATACCATTGTATACAAATGGTATGAAACCCCAGATTACTCTGGAATGTCTTAGTTGTAGGTGTGTCTAGTTGTGGTTCAAGCAGATGACAGCAGGCCTGCTTCAGGGCATTCTGCAGCTTGGAGATATATCAGCCTAAATCAATCTTAGCAACTTTTTTTTCTTAAATAGGGTTGTATCATGTTTTCTCTTTAGCTTCCATATAGAATGGGACATAGAAGGAGGATGAGACATAATAGAAGGTGGCTACAAGGTGAAAGGGTTAGATGTCTCGTATGTAAACTCAGACATCTGGAGATTTTTCACAAGTCCTTGCGTTTAAGTGGGGAAAATGGCTTAAAGACTACATTGCACTAGACTAAAATTGAAGTATGTTACCTTTTAGAAAATATAACTTACCTTTTATCTTGGATTGTCATCAGTAATAAGAGAAGGAAACAGCCCAAATCAAAATAACCATGGATCAAATCCAGTATAACCAGTGATAATAAAAAACAGTCCACGTTTCAAATAGCTGTGGGATGTATTATGTAGGAAAATTGATGGTTTGATATTTGAGTGAAAAAGTAAGTAAAATCTAAGTAAAACAAAAAATGAAGGGCAACCTGTCCCTCTGAAGTCCTATATTCACTAAATATTACACAATCCAACAAAGGCAAGTTTTATTTCTGTGGTTCTATGTTACTGTGTTATTTGCTCTCTTTTATTGGTTGTTCTCTTAGAACCACAGAAGGGTGTGATTCGCAGTTAACCTTTTATTTGCCTTCAGTTAACAGTGCCTGCTAACAGTTGAACCAGAGACTTCAACTAGTTCAAAATACAGTTGCTGATGGGGACTGGCCGACACATCACACCAGTCCTATATCAATTAGAGTGGTTACCGATTGAAGTCCAGGCCTGATTCAAAGTGGCCAACGTCAACATTTAAACTCTTAAATGGTTCGGGCCCAAGTTATCTGAAGGATCTCCTCCTTCTGTATATGCCAACCCAACTCCTGAGATCATCACTGAGGTCCTTCTCAGAGAGTCCACTCCAAAGGAAGCAAGGAGGATGGCTACTACAGGAAGGGCTTCCTCAGTTGTGGCATCCTATCTGTGGAATCAGCTCACCTAAGAGGTGTCTTGGTGCTTCTTTGCTCCTTCCAGTGCCAGGTAAAACCCTTTTTATTTTCCCATTATTTTAATAGTTAGACTTTATTTCAATTTTTTACTGTATTTTACTACTGAACCTCCAGATTGATTTAGCTGTGGTTACGGTGAGTCAATCATTGTGATCATGTTGTTGTTGTTGTTAGTTGCGAAGTCATGTCCGACCCATCGCGACCCCATGGACAACATTCCTCCAGGCCTTCCTGTCCTCCACCATCCCCCAGAGTCCACCCAAGCTCACACCAACTGCTTCAGTGACTCCATCCAGCCACCTCATCCTCTGCCGTCCCCTTCTTCTTTTGCCATCTATTGTGCCCAACATTAGGCTCTTCTCCAGGGAGTCCTTCCTTCTCATTAGGTGGCTGAAGTATTTGAGTTTCATCTTCAGGATCTGGCCTTCTAAAGAGCAGTCAGGGTTGATCTCCTCTAGGACTGACCGGTTTGATCGCCTTGCAGTCCAAGGGACTCGCAGGAGTCTTCTCCAGCACCACAATTCAAAGGCCTCAATTCTTCATATTGTATTTTATACTAATGGTATTATTGTAATTTATATAACAATTGTATTAATTATTGTATCTTTTATTGTATTGTATCTTTGATTTTATGAACCATCCAGGGAGACTTTTGGCTGATGAGTGGTGCACAAATATATTTAATACATAAATTCCTCAAAATTTCTTCTTCTAGCCTAGTAATTCAATCTCAAGGCAGATGGTGAATTATCTTCTGTTAACCTGTCTGGATTTCATCACCTGAAAGATTTCTTCTGAATTTAACTGGAATCTTTATTTGGAGCTGCTATTGATTCATAAGTAATCTGAAAGCTTAATTTTACTTGGACTTGACAATGAAGTATGAGTCAAATGTTGATAACAAAGTGTTCAAGATGAGTACATTATCATAGGCCATTGGCTTGATTAGGAAAAATGCAAGACATGTAGGATTCTGATGTATATAACTTGAGCTGGCTGGTTGGGGATGGCATGGGAGATCGTCTCGGACCTGGTGTTGAGGACTCCCAGGATGTTGGTCCTGGGGGACTTCAACCTCCATGCCAAGACGGTTCTGACCGGGGCGGCTCAGGACTTCATGGCCTCCATGATGGCCATGAGGCTGTCTCAACACGTCAGTGGCCCGACCCATGAACGTGGACACACTCTGGACCTGGTTTTCTCAACAGGGCAGGAAGAGGGTGATCTGAGGGTGAGAAAATTATGTTTGACACCCTTGTCATGCTCAGATCACTTCCTCGTGAGGTTTGAGCTCAAGAGCAGCCTTTCCCTCTATAAGGGTGCGGACCTGATTGTGCTGGTCCGCCCCCAGAGTCGGATGGATCCTGATGGATTCCTGAAGGCTCTGGGGGATTTTCTGGTTGATAAGGCTGGTGCTCCTGCTGAGGCCTTGGTTGAACTATGGAATGGGGAGATGACCAGGGCTATTGACACGATCGCTGCTAAGCCTCCTCTCCCACCTGGCAGAGCCTGTTCATCTCCTTGGTACACACCTGAATTACAGGCGATGAAGCAGGTTGGGAGACGTCTAGAGTGTAGGTGGAGGAGATCACGGGATGAATCTGACCGAACACACTTAGGAGCCCACTATCGGGCCTATGCTGTGGCAGTGAGGGTGGCGTAAAAGAAATTCTTCTCTGCTTCCATTGCCTCCTCACAATGCCGTCCAGCGGAGTTCTTTCGGGTGGTGCAGGGGCTCATAAATCCAGGCCCAAAGAGAGATCTGGTGCCACCCTCGAAGGCCCACTATGCTGACTTCGCCAAGCATTTCAGGGAGAACATCGCTCAGATTTGTCACGAGCTGGACTCTACTATTGAATCAGATTCTATTGGGGAGGTGCCAATGACGCCGTCGAGTCCTCAATTGATGGATTAATTTCAGTTGTTGCAGCCTGATGATGTGGACAAGGTGCTTGGACAAGTATGTCCTACCATCTGCTTACTAGATCCTTGCCCATCTTGACTACTCAAGAATGCCAAGACGGGATTGTGACCTGGATCCTGGAGGTGGTCAACGCCTCTTTAAGAGACGGCCAGGTACCTGCCCCTTTAAAGGAGGCGGTAGTCCGGCCAGTCCTAAAGAAGGCATCCCCGGATCCAGAGGTGGTCGCCAATTATAGACCGGTGGCCAACATCCCATTCTTGGGCAAGGTGCTAGAGCAGGTGGTGGCGGGACAACTCCAGGCACTCGTGGATGAAACTGATTATCTGGACCCATTTCAGTCCCGCTTCAGACCCGGGTACGGTACTGAATCAGCCTTGGTCACCCTGTACGATGACCTGTGCAGGGAGAGAGACGGGGGAGTGCGTCCCTGTTGGTTCTCCTGGACCTCTCAATGGCTTTCAATTCCATCGACCATGGTATCCTTCTGGATAGGCTAGCGGGATTGGGAGTTGGAGGCACCGCTTTCCGGTGGTTCCGCTCCTATCTCAATGGCTGATTCCAGAAGGTGGTTCTGGGGGACTATGGCTCTGCACCATGGCAGCTATGCCATGGAGTTCTGCAGGGGTCCATTTTGTCCCCCTTGCTATTTAACATCTACATGAAACCGCTGGGAGAGGTCATCAGGAGGTGTGGGCTGCGGTATCATCAGTGTACTG